CAAAAACCTGAGCCTTCCTGAGCATTTTAATGTGTTTAAAATTGATTTGGGTTAACTTAATGCATTCATAATCTAGACTAAGTTAGAAGTGAATCCAAAAATCATCAGCTTTACCAACAACATTTCACCCACAATCTTAGGCAAGAAATGGGTTAATGTTCATATGTGAGACCCATCTTTTTCTGTAAATTTCTATATTTTTTAAAATAATTTCCTCAAAAATTTTACATTTCATTATAAGTTTTCTTATATGTATTTTTTGCAACATATGTGACCATGTTTTATCATGTGAACGATGCATATATGTGCGGTTGAAGGATTCATATCATTCTGTGCAATATGTGTTTATGTATATGTACGTATATTATTATGTAATTATTACCTCTATATGTGTAGATGTGTGATATATAGTTATATATATGTGTATTATGATATATGTGTAAACTACCTAGACTGTAAGAAAAATAAAATATGTACTTAAGTAATAAATTAATTTAATGAGTCAATATTTATAAAAGGATAAACTAAAGAAATCAACATTAATAAATATAGAGTTGATTTAGATAAATTGGGTTTTAAAGAGTAAGTCAATTTGATAAGAAAATGAGTAACAAAAATGGGAAAAAGAATTATAGAAAATAATATAAATTTGTGAGATAAGAAAAGGTGAAGAAGGATAATGAATGAGAGGTCGAAAAAGGAATTAATGAATGGAAGGTATATTATTATGTAATTTAGTACCTATGTATTTGTAAAAGTTTGATATATAGTTGTATATACACGTATATTATGACATATGTGTAAACTACCTAGATTGTAAGAAAAATAAAATGTGTACTTAAGTAACAAACTTATTTAATGAGTCGATATTTATAAATGAATAAACTAAAGAAATAAGCATTAATAAATATAAAGTTTATTCTTGATAAATTGGGTTTTAAAGAGTAAGTCAAATTGATAAGAAAATGAATAACAAAAATGGGGAAAAGAAGTATAAAAAATAATGTAAATTTGTGAGATAAAAAAAGGTGAAGAAAGATAATGAACGAAAGGTAGAAAAAGTTATTAATAGATAAAAAGTAAATTATGTGTAATTTGAAATAAAATAAGAAATAAACATGACTAAGTTTCTTAAAAAGAAATATCAAGAAGGAAAGAAATTTTAAGAGTAATAGGGTAAATCTAAAAAAATTGATTTATACTAATAAATTTATGGAAATAACATAGAAGGAAACGAGTAAGTAAGTATAGATTTAAAAGTAATGGATCGTTTATAATGTGTTAAAACTTTTAAAACATGTTTAATCTTATATCAAGAAGGGGTGCATGCGTGTGTGACTGAGATTCTGTCGAAGTGATGGTGAACCCTATCTTATAGACAATCAATCGTACCGTAATATGATTTGTGTCCATTATAGACGTATCATATTGTTTTATTGTTATTGTGACCAGACCCATGTTGATAGCAGGTATCTCGATTGCCCTTATTGATAGTGATTAAAGGCATGATACAATAAAATTGTAAAGTCTAAGTGTTTGTGTGTTAACCGCACTGGAAATTATGATTGTGAAATGTGAATTGTACCATATCATAATTATGTTTGATCTTATATTAAGGAGGGGTGCATGCGTGTGTGGCTGATATTCAATCTAAGTGATGGTGAACCCTATCTTGTGGAAAATCAATTGTACCATACTATGATTGTGTCCATTATGGATGTATTTTATTGTTTTATTGTTATCATGACTGAGTCCACATTAATAATGAGGATCCGTATTACTGCTTTGATATTAATTAAAAAGGCATCGTACGATAAAATTTGTAATAAATAAAAGTGAAAGTAAAAAGTGATATGTGTATACATGGTGTAGATACAAAGTGAAAGTGAAAATGAAAGTAATATTTGTATGTGCAATGTAAGTAATACATCAGTGAAATGTAATATATGAATATGTGAAAGCGCAAATAATAAGTGAAGTGTAACATGCGAAAATGGTGAAAGGGAAAAATGATAATCAAGAAAGTGAACACTAGTAAATGCAAGTGATATTAGTTTTACGAGTGTAACGAATATGTAAGTATAATGTGAGTTAAAAAGACCTAAAAAATGTAAGATAAGACTAAGGAAAGGAAATGAGATAAGAATTAAGAGAAATGAGAAAAGTACGAATAAAAAAAAAGAAATGAAAAGATAGAGATGAGATACAGGATGGATAAGGTAAAAGAAGTTCGAAATAAAATGAACAAGAATTTTGTTATGTTGATTTTAGTTTGGTAGCTTTCTTTACTAAAACTTGCATCTATTTTATTCACCTTGTGTGATTGTATATGTGCATGACTTGATTATGAGAACTAGCATTTTCTTACTCAGCCTATGAAGCTCACCCAAATTCACACACCTCATTTCAAATTAAAATAGATCAGGAGCAAACTCGAGATCAGTAGGAGACTTTAAGGAAGCATTTTAGCATTTTGTTAATTTATTTTATAAAGTAGAATCAAATTAAGATATTATTGTGATTAACTTTTATTGAGCCTTATTTATTTTTAACTCTGTACAAGCGATGTATAATTTAATCATTTAGTATATTATTGCGCAATAGTGAATTCTACATGCATGGTAGCATCTGTTTTTAATAAGAAAATTGGGACGTTACAAATAATATATCTTGCCCACGTATTAACCTTTTAGATATGGAGGATATCGATACAAAATGGCAGGTATCTTAGGGCAAGACTTTGTTGAAAAAGCTAGGCTCTAATTTTATATGTAACTAAAGGTTAATATTTATATTTTCAAAGTGTTATAATGTAATTATAACCTCGTATTATATGTATATAATGTATATATATTTCAAGGGATAAGCTCTGTAATATAATAAAATATTATTATTACTGCACATGAGTTTGCGCTTTGGCCATACCCTATAATAGGGGGTTATGACAGTTGGTGGTTTCAGAACATGATTTTGGACATCCATTGAATATGAGGCTTAGAATTATGTAAAACCCATGATTATGCCTAAATCTAGAGTTCTCTCGATGTAGGAAAAGATGGTGAGGCCAAAGATACAACCTGTACCTTAAGATAAAACTAAATAGACTTTAGACAGACTTACGAGGATTGTGGAAGGGTTAGCTATAATAATGAGTCAACAAGTGATCAACAATCAAAATGCTACGAATAACAACAACACAGCTCTAAACAACAACGACGACGCTGAAATGATGGTAGAGATTAATAGAAGAATACTAGAGCTTTTCAAGCGACTTGGAACAGAGCATTAGGTAATGCAGATTGAAAAGTTTTCCAAGATCATCAAACCCACCTCGGAGTAGAAGGTTCATCTAGTAATATTTATGTTTAAGGGAACCGTCAAGCACTATTGGTGAAAAAAAAAATGAGATGTTGAGAGCTTCAGTTACATGGGAAGTATTCCTTCAAGCCCTTTATGAAGAGCATTTCTCATGGTATATCAGAGACAAAAAAAAATATGGAGTTTAATGAGTTAAAGTAGGGCATTATGAGCGTTAGAGAGTAAGTAGAGAAATTCACTAAGCTCGCCAAACTTGTTCCACATATGGTAACTAATGAAGATAACATAATAAAGAAATTCCAATAGGGTATATATAAATAATTTATATTGTGATCTTTATACTTCGACTAAACACCTACCGAGAAGCATTGGGTCATGTCCACCTTGTAGAGGAAGCAACAAGGATAGTGGTTCAAACATCAAGGGCAAGGAACTTTATGTCCAATAATAATAAGTAAAAAACAAAAAAGCTTAGGCAACCATATAAAATGCCCATAATAATGCCCTAGAGCTCTAGTACCAAAACAGAACTGTCCACATTATGGAAAGAATTGTGGGAACAAACCATGTTACAAGTTAATCAATAGTTATTTCAAGTATGGCAGTACACAATATCTTATTTGTGATTGTCTTCTCTAACAAGAGAATACTAGGCCCATAACACAAAGAAGGGTCTTAATCACTAAAAGAGATGGGGAGGCAACT